GAAACTCAAGTAACCCCTTATGGCATTAGCGTTGGAATTCATATAGAAGAACTCATATAGGATTAAGAAAGAAGTTTTTCTTCCTTGCTCTTCTGTGTTTTTGTTTTTTTAATTTATTTATGTGTTCTTATACTCTTCGTCAAAAGCAAAATGAAAAGCTTCAAACGGAGTAAAATTTTTTAAGTCGAATTTRTATAAAACAGGTTTTTAACAAAATTCATAAAAAAACTGCATAAAAAAAATTAATATCCATTTTTCCATTCTTATCATTTCATATCAATATGTTGAAAAATTATTTTTTTTAATTTTATAATATTTCTTTCGTTTCAAAATCTTTAATATTTTTGCAACAACTTTGTATCARTTTCACAATTCACTTAGGGCATTCCAAATTTCTTGTACGCACTTATTTGTAACTGTTGCCGCCCTTGGGCAGGATGTCTAGGAACAGGTTTTCGCGCGTCACTTGCCGATATCAACTAATTAACTTACACACGGTCCTAATAAAAGCCAAAATGGCTAAGAGCGCAAATTGTAAACAAACGGAACCGCGCACGTATTCAGCGCAGCTTGCGGACTCGTACTGAAAGTGAAAACGAACTCACAATTCACAATTCCGCAGAGCAGCAACGCATACGACGGCGGTGGCTGGGGTGGCGACGCTGATTCTGGCCCCTCAATAAAAATCGCACACACGCACTCACTAGTGCAGACGCACAATGCACAACGCTCAGTTTGAGTGACGGAGCGCACTTGAGTTTGAGTGGAAATGCACTTCGCATGCAAGTTGCAACTTCTTGCGTTCCACACGAATGCAACCCTAGCTACCGAACACACTGGACACTGTGACTGTCAGCCGATTGGATGCTAGCACGACTCGACCAGAGACTTCAAGGAGCCAATCGTTTGTTAATTCACGATTGGTGCGCGTCGTTGCCGCGTTCGTTAGTAATCGCATAACATTGGTGCGCATGCGCCTGCGCTGTTCGTATTAACTCTATCACACAAGGTGAATAATAATAAAAATATACAAAATGAGTTGGCGCGTCGTTTTACACACACACACACACATACATTTAAAACAAAAATTACTTGTTGTTGTTTCGCCGTGTTCTAAGCCGTTTTTTGTTTGGGTTGTTTAAATAATATTATTAAAGCAAATATTCGAACCGAAACGAATTGCTGCGCTGGATCCGGCGCGTACTAACAATTAAAACGTACTGAACGTCCGGTTGTTGGCGAACTGCTACTTGCCTGTGCCAGATTTCCACGGCAAAAAATACGAGCTGTGCAATTGTGTTTTTTCGTTTAACGCTTAACTGTTTATACATAAACATTTCGAAGTTCTCGTCTTGATTTAGATTTGTATACGCWAATTTTTTTTTGTTTGAAATTTTATTGTGTACGGGTGCTTTAAAGATTTTTGCTTCTTATTAAGTTTTAGCGCTTGCAAAAGCGGTTGCATTTGCAAATGTATTGAAGGGTCAAGAATGAGTATCGGGATTTGTGTGCGCGGCTMAATAAGGGGAGTGCAAAAAACAAATAATTAAGAAACAGTAAATACTGAAAATAAAGCGAGGCAAACGAAAGCAGTGTAATAAAATGTAACTCGTTTATTGCGACTCCGACGATTATTTAAGGGCTTTCCCACGGCTATATTTCGTTTTTTTGCATTAAAGYGAATTTTAAACACTAGACTCAAGATCAAATATGACCCGGACTGTCCAAAAAGATTTTAATTTTCCGATATTAGTATTTTTATAAGCGCCAGAGCTGATACAATGCCAACACATATTTCAGCATATTCTAGTTTTCCGTACACTTGTTATAAGCCTCGAATTTTGGCTTTTTTCAAGACTTGGTTTCTCATATAAAAAATGAAATATTTTATTAAATTTTTTTAATGAAAAAAGATGCACTCGCGTATTCAGGATAACTCCTTACAGGATCATCTATGGTGAAAAAATACGTGTTACGCGAAATTTTATTCAAATTTGTAAAATTTCATGAAGATCGGCTGAGTAGTTCTCAAGAAATCGACCGACTTCAAAATCACAATTTCGAGAAAAACTCGTGTAAAGACGGTACACTTAACATAGCGAGCCTCGAGGGCACAAATTCTCAAGGTTGCATCTCCGAAACTATTTCTCGGATCAACTTGAAAATTTAGGACACACTAATAAGACACACTATAAGACAATAAATTTTTTGTGTAAACCCGTAAACCCCTAAACCCATGTAACCCCTTAATGTAAAGTTCCGAACTACGTTGTGAAGCATCTACGACGTCTTCTTTGCAAAAAATTCGYGTCGAATCACTTAATATACAAAACATTAATCAAAATTTTTTGAGTCGATCCATAAGTATATTGAGATTCTCCGCTATATCTCTGACGACAGCGCGACGACTTTCGAGCATTAGTACAACAATTTATTTCCGTGAATTATTTAAGAAAAAATCTTAGTTTTCAATAGATTTTTTAATTTGCTTTCAAGAAAAATCGAAAATAAGTTTCCAAAATAAAAATTTTTACTTTTTTTTTTAATTTTTATTAGCTAAATAATTTTTTGAATTTTGTACTTGGAAATACATATCGTCACCTAAAATGCAAAACAACTTATTTAAAAAAATTGAAAATCGTTGTCAGATACAACAATCAATATATAATCATTTTACAAATAAAACTTACATTTTTCTCAATGTTAGTGGTTTCTGTTATATCGTTTTTCCTTTGCCTGTAAACTTCTGAAAGTTTATGTAATGTTATTTTGCAATTTTGGTGACGATATGTAAATAAATTCCAAACCTAGTAGAAATAAATTGTTCATAAAAAGTCTAGTTTCCGAAATTATTAATATATTCGAAAAACAATTTTATTTCAGGCTTTTATGCATACAAAAAGGGGTCGATTATATTTATGTTTCTGGGAAAAGTGATTAAAATGGCAGCCAGTAGCATTTTATGCCTTCATATACATATGTATATACATAGGTATATACGCTCGCATATAAATTTTAAAACAAAATAATATAACAAGATTGATTCATAAATCGAAAGTTTAACCTACACAAATTCATTATGAGTATTATTAATTTTTTGTTTGCTTGCATATACAAACTTCATATGTATGTATGAAAGAATGTATATGTATGTGCATGTATTTGTCGGCTCACTTCCGAGTAATGAATGTTACTACGTGCAAATGCTTGTTTTTGAAATTGTTAAAAACCAACACACACACACGCACATACACGTTGTGAGCCGTAAACGCCGAAGTTGCCTGCAATAATTCTTTTTGTTGGATTTTTGTTGCGTAATTAATAACAATTTTATAAATAGTCTTGTGTAGCTAATTAAACATCTGTTGTCCAATAATTTGGAATTTGGTGGTTATGAAAATATTTGTATCAGTTACGAGTTGCATTTTCCTCATCAATTCTTGTGGTAAAAATTTTTCAATTTCAGCTGAAAAGTCATTCTTAGACGTGTTACATTTGCTTTTGCTTGTTTTATATTTTCCTTTACTTGTTTGCTGAGGTGCTTTGATAAGGTGTTTTTGTTGTTGTTGGCCGCGCTAAAATTAACATTTACCAATTTGTTGTCTTTGACGTTGTGTGGTTTCAAATTTGTTTATATCTCGAGACGTTCGTTCACTCCGCTTTATTGGCAATGGCGTTACTGCTTCGCGTTTCTATCTTATAAATACAATGACAGGTACACAAATATGACTAGTTATTGGAAAAAAATTAGTATATTCTGTGCAAGGCGTCGCAAGAGCAGTTGGGCAAAGGGGAATATCGGGCACAATTTATCCCGGGAGTTCACTGGAGTGAAGGAACGAAAACATTCGAAAGAATATGTATTGGCGTTTATTTTTTGAAGATTATCTCATTCGACCTGTCGCCGAAATTGCGAGCTTCATTATTTTTGCAGAACTATGGATCGATGATTCAATCGGGACACACACTACCCCAAACCGTTATTTCTTCTGTATGAAATGGCAGCTCGTGATAAATTTTGGTTATGGCAATTATGAGTCAAAGATCTTGTCCCCTTATTTATAGAGTACTCGTATTATGTTCTCATTTCTTATGTCTTCGTTTCCATTGTACTTCCTTGTTATTGCCAAAAAGGAAAAAATATACATATATATGAACCCATAAAAATGTCCCATAAAATTTTCATGCACAGTTTAGTACGTACTGTCTGCTAGTATAAACAAATACATAATTAAATTAACTGAAAATTTTTTTATATAAGAACAAACCGTTTTCTGTACACAGTAAACATTTTTAGCAGCTGAAAAAGCAAATGTTTAAATCAGTATTTATTCTAGAGGCAGCAACATCGACCACCGACATAAATCGTGTACCAAAACAATTATAAATTACAATATAAATTACATACAAAAAAAAAAAAAGGCGAAAGGCGTAATAATTTAGGCGGAGTCAACTAATGGAAACTTTGGCAGTGCAGTAGCTGTCGATTTATGCACACGGTGGGGAATTTTAATTTTTCCGTTTAAATGCTGTTTAGTAGGTAGTTTAACGGAGATGAACATATTGAGGAATAGTTCAATGGAATCGCCTAAATTCAAATACATTGAAACTGAAAATAATTACTTGCGAAACAAAATATTGTGTAGTCGAATAAGTCTTTTTGTATTTCTAAGCACACTTCAACTTTTTATATTTATAATGAACTTTAATGAACCAAATATGTGCCATTTTGGTCGACCACTTTTTGCCATTTTTCTGCTAGAGACATTATTCCAATAGTGTAAACCTTTTCTGGTCTCTCGACGAAAAATTGCGACAAGCAATTTTCACAGTCTTTTGAATTTTCTCGAAGCATCTTTACTCCATTAAGGGGGTTCTGCATTGATCGAAACAAATGATACTCCGATGGTGCAAAGTCGAGGAGTGGTGCATCTTTCACATCGAAATTTCCAGAACGGAAGCGGGCGAACCATTGTTGTGCTACACAAACCGAACATCGTCCCCGTAAACTTCACAAATTTCATTGGTGGCTTGTTTTCTTGCTTTTTTATACAAAAATTTCAAAATATAGCGAATTCTTCATTATTTTTACTCATTTTTGAACAGCTTTTGGTTAAATGAATCTTAAAATCTCACCTTTATGACACAATGTGATTGGTAGCACTGGAGATACTAATTACCTAAGCGAACATAATGGTTAAAAAATTATTCTAAATACCTTAAGATAACGATCAAATGAGATCTTAAGTTCTCAAGTACAATCGAAAACAATATAGTTCAATAACTTTTGAAAAAATTAAAAGTCGTGTTAATTACCGACCAACGAATGCCCCACACCCTGTATGAGCGTATTCACCATATGTGCACACCAATACTTTGCAAATTTGTGTACCTACCTGTGCGTTCGTTTTGCCATATGCTAACGTGTTTGCGTGTGGATTTCCGGTATGGCCTGGTGGGCAGTGTTAACGATAGGCGGCACATTTACACTTTCGCTTTTAGTTTTTATGCTGAAAAAACACCTACAAAACTGTTTATTTATGTGCTGGATCTCCATACACGCATCATCATAAGCTAAATCGCCACCAATTTCATAGCCTCTGCACCTGGCTACTCCAGCAAAGCGATATGTAAAAATAAAAATCAGAAAATATGAAATCACAACATACAGAATACAATGTAAAAAGGCTTAATTAATAAAAAGCAAAAAAGATAAACAAACAAAGTACAAAAGAGGAAACCAGAAATGCCTGTGTTGAGTTGTCGAATGAAGGTCAGCATGCCTTAGCCCTGCTCTAAGCGTCTACGCTCACCCAATGCAACTTAGCGGCTTGAAGCACACACAAACATACACACCTGCACAGCCGTGCGGACAGACGGTGCTTGGAGCGGTCGGGTCTAACCGAGCGAAATGAAATGTCGTTGAACTTTTTTTTTATGGATTTGACGAAAAAGACGCAAATTTATTTTGTGTATTATTAAACAGAAATAACAATAATAATAACACCA